ATCCTCCTCTTCCCCTGTACATTCATCTCTTCTATTCTGTGGTGTTAAACCAAAGAAACAGTGACAGTTAACTTTGGAGCCTGTTAAAAAATGAAGTTCTGAGCCTCTGGCAAAGATAAGTAATAATTTTTGCAAACTTTTAAAATTTTTTTTAGAAAATATGTTTTTCTATCTGTTCCTCGCCAAGTCCTGTTTGTTTGTTACAGACTGGTACAAACTCTGTCAAAGAACTAGCCTGTTGCTTCTGGCCTTATTTTAGCCCTTTTTCACGAGCTGCCTATCTCATGAATTTACGTTGTGATCTGACAAAGTTCCTTGTCGTTTCAGTGTTGAGAGACAAATCCCTGTGGGAAAAGGAAAAAAAAATCCTCATTGTAGCGAGGGAGAGATTTTCTGATAGAGCTTGCATCTCAGTAGGCAAGAAATAAATCTCCTGACTCTTAAATGTTGAGGAAAGGAAAATAATCCTTTAAAAAGAGCAGTGTCTTGCTGGGGTAATGTGCACTGATGAGTCCTGGGGGGTATCTCTTACCGTTGGTGATGCCAGGTAAGCACAAAACTTGGAGTAAACTTCCAGAAATGGGGTGGGGGACAGGCCAGTAAATGGTACTGGGATAACAAAATTGCCTTACCTCAGCAACAGCAAAATACTGTGGAAAATCTGAACACAAAGTAGCCCAGAAAAGAGTACGGGATTTTTGTCTAACGGGGAACAGTGTCACTTACCAATTAACATACGAGTGAGAGAATTAGGTTAAGGAAACCTGATCAGGTGGATGGCCACTGTGGTTTCAGGCTTATTCTTTCATGCTTCCTGGCTTGGAAAGAATGTAAAAGTCGCTTGTCCGGCTTGTCCTGAGCTCTCTCTCAGAAGGGCAAACCCACCTTAAGTTGTCTATACTCCATCTTTCTTGTAAAATGACAAACTCTAACCTTGTCAGGCAGCCGCTGTCCTGTTACCAAATTGGAGTGGAAAAAATGAGTATCAACTGTTTGGGGGGAAAAATAAGGGGAAATAGTTCTGACTGTGATATGGTTTGAGTTCTGTACTGCCTTAGGTCAATTCTCAAAGCTTTCAGTTTAAATTCTTTGTTTGGCCTGGTCCAGGGTATCTGTAGAGGAAGGTGGGTTTCGGGGCATTATTATTTTGATTAATACCGTGTGTATATTTTGAAAGTGAAGCTGTTCACGTGTTCTCTTTGCTTGTAGTAATTCTGCCAAAAAACCTGCTTTACCCTCAGGAGAAAAGATCAGATGATTCCTTACTCAGACTGTCAGAAATAACCTGAAATAACTGACAGCTGAAAGAAAACAACAGTCGAGAAAGACAAGGAGGTTTCGTATCCCATAGCCCTAAAAGAGGTGATAGGGGATGCTCCAGACGAGACTGGCACGTTAACGTGGGGCAGTCGGACACCGCGGGCGTATGCATGTGGCGTGGCAGCAATGTCTGGGTAGGTCTAATTCAGGATGGAGTAGTTCTGGTGCGTTGGTGCTGGTCTGGTACTGGAGGCTGCTGACTCTGAGCGGTTGCCACGTGTGCCAGGGTAGGTATCTTGATGGCTTGCTAGAGAAACACCGACTGTGCGCAGGGCAGAGGGTCCGTCGGAGGCCATGTTCCTGCAGGCAGGCCAAAGCCTCTGCTTTCAAAATGGATTTGCAATTAAATTCGAAGACATTTCTTACCTGGTAAAACATGCTTAAGTTGGAGAAGTCATTCAACAGCCCTGGCTTCGTAGGTTTGATTGCTCTTAATTCTCTGTCACTGGATACTGATTTATTACAGCCTGAGCATGCTTCATTTGAGAGATGCACATCTTTACTGGTCTGCCATGATGATAAATTCCTTCTGTTCCTGACCCGGAGCTAACAAACAGCTGCTCTGCTAAGCCTGATAAATGCTCAGGCAGCTTGGTCAGGCCTTAAGAAGGTTGTGTGCCCTCCCAGCCTGGGCAGGTCAGCCCTGCTGGTAGGGGCTGGGCTCCACGCTCGGCCGCCCTTGTAGTGAGATCAAGAAAGTCAGGATGATTATGACCGAATTTTCCCCACTAAATGATGAAGAAGGTATTGAGGCAAAAGAAATAATAAATATCTGTCTCTAAACTTTGGCATTTTATTTATGAAATGTATGCTTGTGTTTGTTAGATAATAATATTAACCTCACAGCAAATTATATGGAATAGATAAAGTGGTTTTTAGAGGAAAAAAAACCCCACTTGTCTTTTGGTAACAAAAAACCTGCAGACTGTGCTGCTAAATAATATTGAATGCTGCTTGGATGGGATAGACAGTTAACAAAAATGATTCCTCTGGTAATTTGCACTATAGCTGCCCATTTGTCTCATTTGCCATACAGTGAAGTTGCAAGATCGCTAAAAACGCTCACAGAATAGATTTTTTTTTTTTGAATTGGATATTACCATGGCAACCATGCTCAATACAAACCCAGGTATGACTGAATGTTTTGTCATCTGTATTAGTGCAGAACGGAGAGACTGAAATGATTACTATTATCCCACTTAATACTGCACTCTGAAAAGCCATTCTGTCAAGTCTTCCAATGGTTTTGCAAAGCTGTAATAATCTTTTTGAGAGATGTCACGACTACTGGGGTGACTAGTGGTGTGGGAACACCAGCACTAGCAAGTATTGGACAGGCCACTTGGTTTAGAGGCAAGTGTTCAGAATGGAAGTTGTAATGACCGTGACTAGTAGTGTGAATACCTCTTAGATTCTTGAAGTTCGTAGAATCAAATTAAATGTTTAATAGGACAGTGAATAGGAGATTATTTTTAAACTCTTTCCTCCCTCCCCTGTGTTCTTCCCCATGTAAGTAGTGGGGGGCTGCACAGATAATCAGTTTGAGAAGCTAAGTCACCCTTTATATTGTCTTCCAAACCAACAGAACCTGAGCTAAGGACTGGCATAACAAAGGGATAAAGTATGTCATGTGCAGAGGAGAGAGAAAAAAAAAAAAAGGCTATTAATATTAAAAGGGAAAAATGTAGGTATCTTTCTGTCCTCAGAAGGAGGAAGTGATCACAGTCACACCATGGCTGAGGAGGAATGAGGGATGCTGCCTCTTCAGCCTGGAGCTGGTAACACCGTCACCTGGAGGCAGTGGATGTAAAAGGCAAAAAAGTAATTGCTCGTATGTGAAGTTAGTGCAGGTATGGTTTATTTTTAAACTATGATAGGATTTAAATAGTATGCTTTCAGACTATTTTCCTCTCTGGAGTATTGTGGTGATGTTACTGCTGAATCTAAATCTCAAAGCTCAGATCTCTTTCAGTGCGATAAACAGATGAATGTAAAGAACAGGCTGTGCTAAAAGTGAGACTAACATTAAAATTCCTCTTTGAGCTGACTCTTCTGAAGTTCACTCAGTCATAAAGAATATTGTGCTTTGCTCTTGACTGTAGTGAAACCCTGCTTCTAAATCCACCAAGCCTTAGTGTCCAAAGTGCTTTCGTCTTTTACTAGGGCTGTGCAGGCTTATCCCAAAAGCCTAACCCCAGAGTCAGGGTTTGCCAAAGCTTAGCAGAAACATTGTGCCTATTTACAATTTGAAAAGCTTCTGCTTAAAAAAAAAAAAAAAAAAAAAAAAAGGGGGTGGGTGGGAAGTGATGTGGCACTGCATAAACAGGCCATCACCCTCCTTTTAATGCTTGTTCAAAATTTTACACACAATCACACAATCTTCTTGAGCAGTGGAGCAGCAAAACATAAAAAGCCAATGTCATGAAGGGCAGGATGAGAATAGCAAAGGTGCTGGGCTTGTGTGCACGTCCCTGAGCCTGAGGAGCTGCTCTGTGTGTTCAGCTGACGGCTGCTCAGCCAAATTTCTCTCCCTTAATTTGCAAAGCCTGGGAACCCTAAAAGGTAAGCTGCTCAGAATGTCTTAACTTCATTTCGGTCATAAAGGAAGTATTTTATGCGTTAAGGTAGGAATTTTTCTCTGAACTGTGTCATCCTGGTGTCTTTAAGAAGCAAACAAAACAAAACAACCCACAACTGAAAACACCATGACACGCTTATTACTATAGAAAAAAAGAATATCCTGTTTGTCTATTTGCTAGCATGAAATTATCAGCTCGATTAAATTGAATAAAAAGCATGAAATTTATTCTTACAGCCTGGGAAACAAGCACTCGATCCTCAGCGGTGACTATTTTCAGGATAAGGTCAACTTCCACCATAAAGAATGGGCAGTGGAGTGTGCAGAAGAGTTACGTTATGTCAAGGACATCCTTTTTGCATCTTTCAGCCTCTTGAGAAAGAGGAGGTGCTGTGTGTACTAGTAAAGGTTTAGCTGGTTCTCCAAATTGCTTTTTGATTAGTTCTAGCAGCTTGGTGGCCTCCCCGCTCCCTGCCCAGGTCTCTCGCTGGCGTGTGGAGACATCTGCTGCCCGACCCTGAAAGCTGACTTGGATCTGCTCCTGGAAGGCAACAGGAATAATGAAGCAGTCTTGTGCAGAGTGGTACTCTAGGATTAATCTTTTTTATTTCCCTAAAGGTCAAGTCAAATGCTGCTTTTTCTGGAGAGTCTCCATTTCCACAGCTTTATCTGTATGAAGTAATTGCAGGTGGTGTTAAAAACTATTTGTCTGGCATCTTCCACTGTTAACTTCCAGCTTTGTGCTTGCAACTGCTTTGTCTCGGCTGAGTTAGTGGAGTGTCCCAGATGGTAACGGCACATCCGGAGCTGGGTCTGTCTCAACTGTTGTGTTAGTGAGGGTGCCTGGAAGCTGTGGTCTTCCTCTCACGTCATGGGAGTGAGTCTCAGACATCTTGACTGTAAAGAAGCTGGAAAGCAGAGTCTCATGGTGTGAAATTGTCCTCTTTGGGAAAGGTGTTGTTAACAGCTTGGATAATAATCTTCTGGCATTACCACTGTGCAAGGTTGATCTGGCCCTGGGGTGTGGGGAAGGACTTAGCTGACCCTTGGGGTCCTGATCTGCTCTCTTCTAATTCTGTACCATACAACCTCTGTGTTGTAGAAAGAAGAAGTGGAAGATAACACTGATGAAAACATGGAAGGGGCTCTGATAGCCCGGGACAGAGTCGGGGTGCAGGACTTTGTGCTTCTGGACTCCCACACCAGTGAGACTGCTTTCCTGAACAACCTTCGTAAGCGATACCAGGAGAACCTCATCTACGTAAGTGCTGGTCGTGTTTGTTCTTGGAGCTACTGACAGTGAAATGTCTCCAAGTGTGTGTGTGGGGTGTATATGTGTGTGTATCAATACAGGGAATGCTTTCCCAGCTTTAGTTTTGTTGTGCTCTGAGACACATTGCTACATGTCAGTAGTACTCAGCAGAATGATCGCCCAGTAGTAGTCTGACTACTTTAGCTAATGAAAATACAGTCTCAGCCTGCTGGGTTGCCTTGCAAAGATCCAAACCATATTCAGTAAATAGCATTTCACACTCCTGTTCCCTTACTGCCTTTGCAGGCAGGCAGCACTGAGCGTGGTGTCTGACTTGTATGAGAAGTGCTGACTACTCCACGGTGCAAACTAAGATGACTTCACAGCCGTGTCTATTTTCTCAGAAGCCCAGGGTTATACCTGGGCTTACAGGAGTGACAAGTAGTATCTAAACACGTCCTTTGTCAAATGAAGACTGATATTTGTATAGCACTAATGGAAATAATTGAAAAGAAGGTAGAACCAGGAAATTCGGATATGCTGAAAATGTATTCAAATAAGGGAAAATGCAATGTGTCCTGAAACATGTTATTTACTCACCTTTCACAGTCAAGAAGGAATTTTCTCTGTTGCACAGCTGTCTAAGGGACAAACAACCTACTTGGCTTTCCTTCACAGCATTAGTTATTGTGATTTTTGTGAAACAGAGTTGGGTTAGTAAATGCATTATGATGTCAACTTTAAGTAGGAAAAAATAAATTCCATAAGCATCATGAGATATCAAAACCTTGTATATAGCAGACTCTAAGCTTGATTTTTATTGTTCAACTCCACTCTTAACTAGATTTGGCAAGAGGTTTGGTGTTGGCTTTGAAGCAGTAGCACCTGTGGGGTGGCTTTGCTTTGCTTTTATTTTTCCCCTCCCTCAACAAGTTCTGTACCATCTTTTTCAGTTGTTCTTGCATGATGTCATGATGTAGTTGGCCCCTTCTTTTGGGAGCTGTTGTTGTGGTGATGGAACAAGTTTCCCACCTGTATGTGTTCTTTCCCCTACAGACTTATATTGGTACTCTTCTTGTATCTGTCAACCCTTACAAAGAGCTGGATATCTACACAGTGACACAGATGCAGCTTTATCGAGGGGTAAACTTTTTTGAACTGCCACCACATCTGTAAGTAGAACCCTGAGGATTTCAGCTTATATTGAAAAATTGGGTTTTTTTTCTGTACTGCTGCTTACTAGCAACAAGGATGTGTACCCACAGTCACTAGGTCTGGTGAATGCTGATATTCTTATCTTCCTGTAGGTAAGGATGGATTTGTCTCTGTCTTCTAGCTGACTGTGAGAATAAAAGGGAAACAAAAGGATTGCAGGAGTGATGTTGGGGAGAACACAGGGGAAGAGTTATCTTGAGGATAACTGTCCAGACTAGTGCTCAGTGTGTCCTCCTTATTACACGTGGTCTAGTCCAACCGCTGCCTGACTGTGTCTCTCTGTAAGTCAACACCTTTTCCTTCAGTTGGCCAAAACACCAACCACTTTGCCTCGTCCTCTGAGGCCCCGTGTTGGTGCAGGCAACCACAGCACTAGTACATGGCTCATGCACAGCCTCTTCTTGGACTTCCCAGGAGAGGAAGAAACCTGAGCTTCTGAACTCGGAGCTGAAAGGGTTGGAAGTTCTTGGGTGGTTTGCCAAGTAGGTTTTTCTTTCTTCTTTTTCCTTTTCCTGCTTTAAGTGGCATGTTGGTGAAGGCTCTGCTATTGGTTGTCATTTATCTGTCTCTTAGCAGCAGAAGTTGAAGTCTTCCCTTTACTGGAATCAAAACTGGCTCCTCTATTTGGAAGAGGGAGTCCCTGCTCTGTATAAACTGTATTCACCAGGAAAACATGCAGCCTATATAAATCCTACAGTAACAGTGGGGGGAAAAAGAACAAGCCCTGTCAGTCCCTCAAATACAGACCGGGTTTTTACTATGAGACCTTGAGTAAGACCTATGTTTTGAGCTCTGCTTTCCCGTCATATCCAATACTTGTAATGTTAGATGACGAGTAAGTACTTCTGATACCCTGCCTCCTGTTGCAGTTTCTAATGGATGCTTCTCCTCTGAATACTTCTTGTGATCCTTGTTCAGATATGCCATAGCTGACAATGCCTACCGGGTGATGTGCAGTGAGTACAACAACCATTTCATCCTCATCTCCGGGGAGAGTGGGGCTGGGAAGACAGAAGCATCCAAGAAGATCTTGCAGTATTACGCAGTAACCTGTCCAACCACAGAGCAGCTGCAGATCGTCCGTGACCGTCTCCTACTTTCCAATCCCGTTCTCGAGGTAAAAACTAAAGGGAGGTGCAAAATGCAGGAGGGTTGGCAGTGATGACTTCACTGTGCAAGACTCTTCATGCAAGTCTGCACACCTGCCCCCAGTAATGGCCTCCTGTTTTACATGGCTTTGCACCTGCATGTATAACATAAATAACAACATAGATTTGACTTGCACAGCCTCTGAGAGAATTCTTTGGATTTAATAACACTATATGTTTAGAAATTTAAGCTTGGGCTTTATAATGAAAGATAGCTGAAACCTGGAAATATAAGAAAACTACAGCATACAGTCGTTCCTCATGGCTTCAGTTATAGGTCATATAAGAAAGAGCAATAATTTGTTTAGCTGAATTCCACCTTTAAAACTAGGGAAATATATTTCAGAATCATAAAATCATTTAGCTTGGAGAAGACCTGAAGATCATTCAGTCCCACCATAAACCAAACACTGCCAAGCCTGTATTTCTTTAATCCCACTAAATGCAGTAGTGGGACTCGGCTGATGCAGCAAGTCTTTATTTCTGGAGCTTTGGCCTACTGTGGGTGTCAGGTTCTCGGTAGGTGTGAAGCATCTTAATCTATCTGTTTGTCCATAGGCTTTTGGAAACGCAAAAACTCTGCGTAATGACAACTCGAGTAGATTTGGGAAATACATGGATATCCAATTTGATTTTAAGGTGAGAACAAACTTAATGGACCGTTATTAAAACGAGCTGTATCAGTGAATCTCTTGGACACTTACCAGACAGCAGAGGATTTATTAAAACTTACACTGCAGATTTCTGACCCTGTTTTTACAGGCGTTGCATTTTGCGAGTAAAGTGACTTGTTATAGATCCTGAAAGCTTCCTACATTGCTGGCACTACCGCTAGCACTCGGTAGAAAGCGGATATAAATTGTTGTAAAGCACAAGTTACACTGGAGAGACGGCAAACGCTTTAGATACAGCTTGTACTGTTGTTGGATACTAACTCTTAAACACAAGATGGCAGATGAGTAACAGCGGAAACGTGCTTCTCCTGACACTGCTCCTTGTTCCTAGATGTGGAGGAACGGCTGTCACAGCGATGTTATTTTGTCTCTTGGTGCTGATCTGACTGCTTTGTTCTGCCAGGGAGCTCCAGTGGGAGGGCACATCCTCAGTTACCTAATTGAGAAATCCAGAGTTGTCCACCAGAACCACGGAGAAAGGAATTTCCATATTTTCTACCAATTATTAGAGGGTGGAGACAAGGATCTTCTTTGCTGGCTTGGACTGGAGCGCAACCCCCAAAAGTATGCATATCTCATCCAGGTCAGTGAGAACTTATCCACCTCTCTGTATCTTACATCTCAAACTGTAGGGATTGCAGATGCAGCTTTCCTCAAGTACTGAGCACACTGCTGAGCTGCTAAGAGATGTCACGTTACAGCAAAACTGCCACGCAGGTTGGTTGCAGACACATTTACTCCGAGGTTGCCGGACACCGTTCTACCCTGGGTGCTTGTGTGGCAGGAGCTGTTCCAGCTGTGATGGCCTAAGGATGCAAGTGATAAATGGCTTATAAGGGGTAATATCTTTTATTGGATCAGCTGATAGAGTTGTGGGGGCAGAAACAAGATTTTGAGCAACCTGACCCAGTGACACCAAGTCCATCAGAATTTAAATTAAAAAAAAAAAAAAAGTCACTTTCACCAGGTCTCTAATTAATTGTGTGTTTCCCCATGTTCTGCGTGTGCAGAATGGCTCTCTGCTGCCATCTGGGCTGCTGCTGGGAGGATGGAAACTCTCTTAAGCAAATGTCAGCAAACCATTTGATGACCCAGGTCCCTCTGCTGTGGTCAAGACACCTCCTGACTTGTGAGCACTCTGAGCTACTAAACAGCAGAGCACTGTCTCTCTGCAAGTTCTGCTTTGTATAAGGGCATCTCTTCTAAGTCTCCTCTGTCAGGACCTGGATTCTCAGGATTTATGGACCTCATGTTAGAGAGGTTTACAGGTGTGGTTATGCAGTGTACAGCTCATTTCGTAGCAGTGCTCTGTTTCCTTTCTTCCTTGGTAATGAAGAAGACCTGGGCAGAAGATGATATTGCCATAAAAATGGCAGATGGCTATAAGCTCAAGCTCTTCACAAGACACAGACATTTTATGGTAATCACTATCCAAGCTCAATGCTTTAAATTATCTAAAGCTTTAAGTGTAAGCTGAAAGATCTGATCAAATGAGCCACTTCCAGGATCAGAAGGAGTGAGATAAACTTTCTAGCTAGTTGCAGACTGCATCTATACAGCCTGGAAACTGGAAATGAAAGTAGTATGCCCAGTAGCCTGCTATGTTTGTGGCTGACAATAAAATTGCCTTGCCAATTAATTGTACTAATTCATCTTTCTCTTACTCTATAGGGTCGATGTGCCAAAGTGTTTTCTATTAATGACAAGAATGACTGGAAAATAGTCCGCAAAGCTTTTTCTATCATTGACTTTACTGAAAAAGATATAGAGGTATGGTTGTTAAATGGGACTGAGCCTACCAAAGGGAATTTAACTCTTTACTTAAAAGTGATGGAAGCAGTCTTGCTTGGGAGAGGTGTTAGGGGTGGAATAGGATGTTATTTTGGGGGGATTGAGGGAGTGGGTGGGTGAAGAGCTCTGTCCCTTGGTACAGCCTGATGGCACCTATCTCTGAGGCTGGCTGGCTCGTCTCCTTCCACCTAGCCAATATTCTCTTTATTAAGGTGCATAGCAAAGGTTAGCCCCATCCCATGGAACTGTGGGAACCTCTTTTCTAACGGCGTATCTCTCGTTATTAGCATCTCTTTGGAATTGTTGCTAGTGTGCTGCACCTCGGGAACATTCAGTTCGAAGAAGATAGCAATGGACACGCCATCATTCGTGATGGCACGCAGATCAAATGGATTTCAAAGGTATCTCTTCTGAGATAGTGTCGGTATTACAAGTGCTTTGAAGAGAGCCTTAACCTTGCTGTGTTTTCCTCTTAAGGACAAAAACATCTGTTCCCAAAAGCAGAGGGATTGCTCTATAAATAAATGCCCAGCTCTTGTTATAAGCTGTCTTGAATCGCTGGGCCCCCTTCACTCTGTAGCACATCTCTGAAACTTCCTTACTTACCGTTGCTCAAAGATATGAGCACAGGGAATGAACTGGGGGGTTACGCCCTACTGATCACACAATACTGCTTATTTAAACAGTCTCCTGCTGGCTGTACTTTGAGTGCAAGTATTTCTTTTTTCTTTTTCTTTTCTTTTTTTTTTTTTCAGCTACTGGGTGTGCACTTGTCCATTCTGCAGGAATCTCTCACCCATCGGAAGATCGAAGCCAGATCTGAAGAGGTATCAAGTAGTTCTGTGTAACCCCAGGCAGCTGGGAGACCCCCTGGCTAGTGGTGGTGACAGAGGAGGAGCCCTGTTCTTAGCAGCGTTACAGTCAAAACAGATCACTCTGGCTGTCTCCCTCCTGTGTATCCCCTTCCTCTTCTAGCCTGACACATTGAACTAAAACATATTTCCAGTATTAAAGTTTTACTGCTGAACAAGGTAGTAACTCTGAAAAACCTAGGAACAGGGACCTGCAGGCAGCCCTATATTTAAGCCAAACCATTTCCTTTTGTTCAGTCCCTAGAGTGCTTCCTGGGAAACTGGGCTGCATAAACAGAGAAAAGCACTGGTAAAAACTGTTCCTTGAGTAATTTGTACCAACTGTAATAAAATAAAAGTAAAAGGAAGTTGGAATCCTTTCCCCACTTGTCGAAACTGTGCTTTCCAAAAGGTAGTAGCACAGTGCTGCTGGCGTGTGGCCGTACAGCTGACTGAAGTAAGGCTGGTGGTGAATAAAGCTGTAGGCAGCTGCGGCTCAGGCTGAGCACTACGCCTGGTTCTCCAAGCCCCAAGCATGAACTGGCTTTGCAGAAGTTTGGTCTGATCACCTGTGGTGTTTATCATCTGTCATATCTGTATTTTTAGGTCCTAAGCCCACTGAACGTGGATCTGGCGTTCTACGCTCGGGATGCCGTAGCCAAGGCGATTTACGGACGCACTTTCACTTGGCTAGTCAACAAAATTAATGGCTCTCTAGCCAACAAGGTTGGTTTCTTGTCTAGTGTCCTTCTAACACGCCAAGTACTTTCTCCAGTGAGGCCCTACAGCACCAAATATCTTGGACGCTTGATAATTGATGTAAGGGCATCCCACAGCACTGAGCTGGAAAACTAGTTAGGTGTGGAGGGTGGTATGGTAAATAGTTCTAGCTGTTCATTACCTGCTTTAAAGTGGCTGCTCCCTTGGCATGTGATACAAAGCTCTTAAAGAGAAAGCTTAAAATTTAGTTGAAGGAAATAACGTGAAATACACAGGGAAGAAGCATCAGCTGAAGCAGCGGTTCCACAGCAGTGGTGTCTTTAACAGGATTCAACTCGGAAAACAGTCATCGGCCTGCTGGATATCTATGGTTTTGAAGTGCTGGACACAAACAGGTAACTGCAGTTCCTGAAGCTTGGGGTAACCTGTCCTCATGCTGGCGGGGCTGTGCGCTCAAGTCCTACGTGGCTTCTGGAGTGTACTGTTCTCCCAGCAAGGCGGGCTACTGGTGCCTGCAAAATCGCAGTGCACTGCGTTGCCTGAACGCCCTGGTGAAAGCTTTAGCTTGGACATCTGGCCTGGATTTGAGCCACTGGTACAACGGTGTGGGAGGAGTGTACGGGTTTGATCTGCGTAGAAGGGGGTTCTTTGGCTTGAAAATGGTAGGTAGTGGTGGGAGGAGTAAAACTGTCCATGAAACGAATAAAAACTAACGCACTAACACTCATTTAACCCCTCCGAAGCTTTGAGCAGTTCTGCATTAATTACTGCAATGAGAAGCTCCAGCAATTGTTGATTGAGATGACCTTGAAAGCAGAGCAGGAAGAATATGAACTGGAAGGAATAGAGGTAATTATTATTTTTCCCTTCCCCTTTTTTCTTTGAACTGCTGTTACAACTGAATGCTTTAGATCATCAATGAAGAAGGCATCCTGCTTTCTTCTTTTTTTTTTTTTTAGTTTGCATTATTCACATGGGAAGTGTAAGATAGACATGGGTCTCATTGTGTACCTCTCTTTGAAGTTTAATTTGGCCTAGACTTAATTTTACATCATCTAAGAAAAGAGTAGAACATTCCCCAAAACTCAAAAGGCCCAGCTGTGACCATGTTCCTGTAGAAATGAGGAGCTCCAGCAGTGTAGACCTGGCCAGTGGAGTGTGTTAATGTGCAGAATAAGAGGATGGTCTGGGCTGCTGAGAGCAGGAAGACTATGGGGTGGGGTGGAAGATCACTGTGGTGTCCCTTTTCCCCAGCACCTTGGTCAGTCCTCATTCACCACACAGATCTTTACTGGGATGGGAGTGTGGCTCCGAAGAACTTTAGAAGTTGAAAGGAAAAGATCTTCCTCTAAAAATTTCTTTCTTGTTTCCTCTTACTTCCAGTGGGAACCAATTCCATATTTTAACAACAAGATCATTTGTGACCTGGTTGAGCAGAAGCATAAAGGGATAATCTCCATTCTGGTAAGAACAGAGTTTGTGCTGCTTAAATGAAAATGCCTGCCTGTACCCTGCTGTAATGGTCCATAAATGGTATTTTTCCTCTAACTGTGTGATGACACAGCGTTGTGCAGAATGTAAACAAATAGACCTTGTAACCAAAGACCCAGAAGGTTAAGGTAGAGGATCTGCTTGCTGGAGAGCTGTGGGTTTTAAAGGAGGCGTGCTGCTTCCACAGCAGCTCGGAGTGCTTGAGAAGGCAGACCTGGGCCATTCTCTCCACTCTCTGCCTGGAGACGCTGAGATGTAGAAGGAAGGTACCTGCAGCAACCTGGCTGGCTCCATCAGCAATAGGGATTGGGACCCTGGCATCTTCAAGGACCGTTGGGGTGACTACAGAACACAGGAGTGCTTCTCCATAGCCACCTGAAACCAGACATCCAGGCTCCTGCAAAGCTGAAAGAGAATTCCTGCCATCTGTCTGCTTCTGTGACTTGCTGGCCTTGATGTCTGGTGCTTCAGAAGGGCTCAGCTAGGGGAGAAACCTGAGAGCTGCCTACCTCTTCTTGAGCTGTGCATCCTCCACTTGTCCCAACTAAAGGGCAAGGAGACGGCTCCTAAAACACTGATCTAAAGAAAATCCTCTTTGTGCCTTCATAGGGATGGCAGGAGAGATGGGGGAGGCTGAAGGCAGCTCTCTCCTGAGCCTTTAACATGGAGCTTGTTCTGCAGTGCTGTCCAAGGCTTTTCGCTTTGATAAATGTGTGACACAAGCTCAGATAATACCAGAATGATACTTTCTTGAATGCCAACCCGAATTAGTAAGAAACGTAGTAATCTTCCAGTAGAGACTTGTAGCCAAACTTGAAGTTGAGTTGCCCCTTGCCACCACCTCTGACATGTCCACAAAGCTGAGAATTATCACCTTGGTATGGGAGACAGAGGATTAGGATGCTGTAATCCAGAGAAGGTGCTGCTGAAGCTCAGCATTAGCTTCACATTGCGATGGATTGCCCTTTCCAGCAGGACTTTTCTACACAGAGTCCAACTGGGCAAGCAGAAGGGGTTGCAGTAGTTTCTTGGGTTAAAAAAGGATAAAAAAGGATAATCTATACGCTTATCTTCCCCCTCCAACTCTGCGATTCATGCAGATCAAGAGTTCTTCAGGCCCTTCTGAATTTTAGTGTCTAATGATGTAATCTTTCTCCCTGTTTTGTTTAAATGAACTACAAATAATAAAGGACGAGGCGGTGCATTGCCAAATTTGGAAGAAAAAAGGCAGATTTGGCTTAACTTGATTTACCTTGACAGTTCTACTGAAAACAGATAAACGAAAGCTTATTTAACTAGAAAGTTGCTCGTATAAAATATAATTTGAGATTAGTTCTAACCAAGCTCTTTGGTTTTGCACAACAAATTTACTAGATGTTAGCAAGGAGGGAGCAGTCTGTTCAGAGCAGCATTTTGATCCAGCACCTGCTGTTTCAGGATGAAGAGTGCTTACGGCCTGGTGAAGCGACTGATTTGAGCTTCTTGGAAAAGCTGGAAGAGAAAGTAGGAGATCATGCCCACTTCGTGACGTATGCATTTACACTCTGTATCCTACCACAGAGGAAACTCTTCCCATCTCTTACCCGTGACAGATTACTGGGGAGGGAACAATTTTTGCTTTGTACCAAAGAAAATCAAGCCAGCCCATCTGCTGTCTAGTGTTGTAATGTGCTATGCTGGCAGAGTATGACCTGGGGTATTGGGGAGGGGTTGGGGGGAATCCTGTCTCCTTTAGTTTGAGTCTGGTTTCACCCCACGCTAATTTTAGGGACTAAAGGTTAAATGGCTTTGGCCTGGGGAGGTTAGATGGCTTTGGCCCCCGCTGACTCCATGGGAAGCTGAAGATACTGCAGAAAGGAGCCTGATGCCCTAGGCTGGGAGGGGCACCTAAATATATAAATCCATATCTTGATATGTGTGAGCTTTGGGTACAAACAGGGAAGAAACATGCTCCTACTCAGATCTCCCAGATGAGTGGCATTTTGGTTTAATACTCATTTGTCATGTTTTCGGGTTCCATTTTGGTGGCAGATGAACACGTTGGCGCTGGGCTGTTCTGGCAGTTCCCAGCAGAAGCCCACTGAAAGGCTTTGACAAGTTGTCAATTCAGAGTCACGCTGCTCAATTGTCACCTTCTACAGCTCTGAAGTTCATCACAGCCAAGTGGAAAATTTGTAGCCAACTTCCTTGTCACCACGATGTGCCTTAATACTGTTCTGCCTGATTAAAAGCTTTAAATAGAAGTGCTAGAGTTACTTAAATGGGATCTGTACTTGGTGATAATTTTGGAAGGAAACTTTGTAGTAATGTGCTGTTGTGACACACAACTCTGCTGTTAGTGACTGCTTATAAAGCTGAAACTTAAACTGTTAAGTTGCTCTTTTTTTTTTTCCTTTTGCTTTTTTTTTTTTTTCTTCCCCCAGGAGTTCTTGCTTTCTAAAATGTTCCTGCTATTCTTGAATTCTTTTGATTCCTCCTTTGTATTTGGGTTCTTGTTCTAGGGAAAAATAGCTCAAACAATCCTTCCCCCTGGTTTCACTTTGAAACTGAGGAAGCTGGCGTACTCTCATGTAGGTAATGAGGATGTATTTAAATGAACATTACAGGAGGAAATCTTAATACTTCTGGAAAGGGTGATCATTGCCAACTGGCAGTGGGTAGGTCACAGATATTTTAAGGAGTTTATTTAGCTGACTTCCGTTCTCCAGCACTGAATTTTGCTGTTAGCTGTTCAGAGTGGGCAGATAGATGATAATTTGATTATTGCCTGTAGCTGCATAGTCAGAGCCATGTTGATAGAACAGACATTAGACAGACTCCCAGCTCTCCTGCAGCTGCTTTTTGTGCAGGTGACTTGCTACAAGCTGAAGAAGCCCATTTGCTGCATTTTTCTCTTGGTGTTTTGTTTTTGTTTTTTTTTCCCTGCAGTCGCAAGCTTGCAGACCAGAAAACACGGAAATCGATTGACTGGGTGGATTTCCGCCTCCTTCACTATGCAGGAGAAGTCACTTACTGTGCTGTTGGTGAGTGTGGGCAAAGCGCCAGTCTAGAAGTTACCTGAGCTTTTAAGCCGATGTAGTAGGTCATGACGTGCAGATGAATCGCAAAATATTTGCCCTCTGGAGGTGCTACCTGAAAATCTCAAACATGCGTGCAGTGTGAATTTTGAGGATATAAATTTTCAGACTTTGTGCTAGAGTGTGTAGCCTCCAAAAAGAATCAAACTTTTTTTTTTTTTTTTTAGGATTTCTGGAGAAGAATAATGATCTCCTGTACAGAAACCTGAAAGAGGTAAGAACAAAAAAGGGAGGCCGTTCTCTTAAGTTACCTTGCTTGAAGCAGAGCTGTTTTGCAGAAGTGTTTAATCTCCGTAGCAAACAAGAGTGTGGATTTCTCCTTAGCAGTGTTCTTTAGGGACCTGCAGGTGTGTCCTTCCAGCTGAGCTGCTCAAGTGTAGAAGCATCACAGCAGGAGCAGCAGGCCTGAGAGATAAGGCAGCTTCTCGCTTCCCCCTTTTCAGGTGCTGTGCAACTCTAAAAATGGCATCATTAGAGAATGCTTCTTGCTGTCAGAACTGGACAACAGGAGGAGACCAGAGACTGTGAGTTTCATCTTTAGTCTCAACTTGGAACCATAAACTCAACTTCCCAAGTCTTGATTTAACCGCTGATCCGGTCTTGGTTTTTTTTTTTTTTTTTTTTTTTTGGCTGGTGTTACACCCCTGCTAGCTTTCTGGTAGTTGAACAGTGACATTGCTGAGACAGCAGCTAGCAAAGTGACGTACCTTAATGTTGTAATTAATGAATCCTTCTAAAACGAGCCCTGTGCCTAGCATCCAACAGTAGTTAGTTTCCGAAGGGCTACCTTGCGTGTCCGGCTGTCTGGCAGGAGTTCAAACCTTCCAGCACAGCACTCTGTCCAGGTAAGTTATGGCTCACCGTGCTCCAAAAGCCTTGTGGTACCAATGCCTTTGTCAGCATTTTACTTAGTTTAAAGGTGGGTGCAGGGAATGAGTTCTGCAGTGATGAGTTCCAAAGCTAAGAAAGTTCTTTCAATGTCATCTTAGGTGGCAACCCAGTTCAAAAACAGTCTGATGAGTCTTATAGAAATCCTGATGTCCAAGGAGCCTTCTTACGTCCGATGCATTAAACCGAATGAGAACAAGGAGCCTGGTAAGGCTTTGGGCTGAGGACACAGTTGAGATAAAGGAATGAAGTGTGGGAAACTTTAGCTTGTAGCTACGTACAGCACATGTATATGTTGTATATATGCTTTGTGCGTGTATATATATGTAAAAATTTTAGTTAAGCTAGCAGTGAAGTCGTCATCACCTTGGGTGACTGTGGATTTGACTCCTTTATTTGTCCTAATACACAGACAAGTGAGCGTGCCTCCACAGGCTGTTTACCAGTGAATGTGTGTTCTTCCTACAGGGAAGTTTGATGATTATCTGATCCGACACCAGGTGAAATACCTGGGACTGATGGAGCACTTGCGGGTGAGACGAGCCGGCTTCGCGTATCGGCGGAAATATGAACTTTTCTTGCAAAGGTAAATGGAATTGTTTTGCCCTCTAGCCACGTAAACCTGCCCTCCCACGAGGGCTTCAGAGCAAGGTTTGTTTAAATGTCAAAGTCCCAGCGACAGGAGATGTGGAGGTGTCAGCAGATAACCTTTGTATGTGTCTCTTGTCTCTATCCATTTTGATCTGCTTTGGCATCTTTTGCCTTGAATAAAGCAGAGGAATTGGCGGGGGGTGGGCTGGAGAGTCTCAGGAAGGGGTTCCTCAAACATCAAGTTATTTGTGTTGATGTCTTGCTGATGTTTCAGGTATAAATCCCTCTGTCCAGCTACCTGGCCCCACTGGCATGGGCCAGCGGCTGAGGGTGTGGAGAGGCTCATCAAGCATATCGGTTACAAGCCTGAGGAGTACAAATTAGGAAGGTAAATTTCTTTTCTCTGGCTGTGATCTCTGCTGCTCAGGTGCAGGGTGTTTGCCATGTTCAATCCTCTGTCCTGTCTGTGACCACAAACCCTGTGGCCCTTCCCGAAGAGCTGCAAGATGTAGTGGGGTGAACAGATCCTTCTTCCTTGACCATATGAACTGGGCAGACCCTGACGGCTTCTGGTTAGTGGCTTCTTTAAAACAGGCCAAAGTAACCTCAGCCCACAGATATACAGTGCACAGCAGCCAGGAGACAGATAAAAAAAGCCCAGATGCATCGATTTTCTCTATTTTTTTCCCCCTTCATGTTTCTGTGGAAGCTCGATCCAGCTGAGTTTCTTCCATCCCTGGGTTAGGGGAGATGGGTTGCCTTGCTTCAGCTCCAGGTCTCCCTGCTTGCTTGGGCAGCCAGAGGCAACTTGCCTGGCTTAGGCCTGGGTTCTTTTCTTAACTGCCTTTTGCAGCCACTCCTGAACCACAACCTTGTCCTCCCTGCTAAGGCACAGGGCAAGGCAGGGTGCTCTACTGCCACCTTCAACCTGTGGCTGTCAGAATCCATGGGTTATTGTCCAGGATAGTAGCTAAGACAAGGAAACCTGTTTCCCCTGGGTTTCAGCTGCTTATCCTGAGCTCCAAAGCTCTTGGGGAAACATATGAAGAGTGGTTATTGAAGAAGATGTGGCTCGTTAGCAGTACAGCTGGTTGGAGGACTCTGAGCCTGGTTAGGGCAGCTGAAACGGTGGCTCACTAGGAATAAGCTGTTCATTTCTCTTTTTTTCAGAACTAAAATATTCATTCGGTTCCCAAAGACTCTGTTTGCTACTGAGGATGCATTTGAATTCAGAAAACACCTGTTAGGTATGGTTCCAGTTCCCTTTATCTGTGTATAGACTAAGAAGCAGAGCCTGGGTGAGCTGTGTTTCTGGGCTCCAGGTTCATGCAGCCAAAGCACCGTGGTGAGAGCAGAGCCCCCCTGGTCTGCAAAGCTCCGGAGAGCCCAAGGAAAAACTCAGTAATCTTTTCCCAGGGTGGGGAGAAATCGCCAGCTCTATTGCTTGAGTTCTAGATATATCATCTCCTTGAGAGCTCCAGCAACTGGTGATCAGTGTCTAGATGTGCCTTTCCCCTGGGATTGGGATCCCATCTGTCTCCTCCTGGTGTTACCTGTTTGTACCTGCTTGAACTGCATGGAGCTGCATTTACCTACAGGCTGCTTCTGGTCCTGGCAGTGTTTTGGCACCTTTGTACCTCAAAACCCTCCTGTGCCTCAGCCCCTGGTGTTAAGTGCTGGGAGCACAGCTTCTGAATGCTGGGATCCCTTGGATATGAGCAATGTCTCTGCTTTTTTTTTTTTTGCCAGTTTCAAGACTACAGGCCAAATACAAAGGATGCCTTGGAAAGAGAGAGTACCAGAAGAAGAGAGAAGCAGGTAGGAGCTCTGGAACTGAGGACTCTCTCCTTCAGGCTGTGCTTTCCAGTAGGAGTTGTTGTTTTGGGAGGTTCCTCTGGCTTGCATCAGTACTAGCGTGGCCGGCAGGGACAGGAAAGGGATCTGAGCCCTGTGCTTGGCACTGGTGAGGCCGCCCCTCACCCCAAAAAGGCCATTGAATGACTCGAGCGTGGCCAGAGAAGGGCAACGGAGCTGGGGCAGGGTCTGGAGCACAGGTCTGCTGGGGAGCGGCTGGGGGAACTGGGGGGGTTCAGTCTGGAGAAGAGGAGGCTGAGGGGAGACCTCCTGGCCCTCTGCAACTCCCTGCCAGGAGGGGGCAGAGAGGGGGGATGAGTCTCTGGAGCCAAGGCCCCA